AAGGTTGGACAGGCGATTACTCCTTATCATGTACAAAACAAGCAGGCAGTTAAAATCATGCCACTGGAGCATCCACCCGTCCCCCCCCCCCCCCGCCCCGATAAGATTCTAGAAAGTAAGGTACCAAGTTAATAACTCAAGACATAATTATCAGAAAATAGAATAACTTAAAATACAGGTCAAATATAAAACCAGTCAGACTGTAAACAGATAGAAAATTATATAACATATGGCAATCTGTTAGCTCATCTCTTCAGTTATCAGTCCACTGAAGTTGATGCAATGACTTTTGGAATTTGTTGTCTCAATCCATCAGTTAACAATGCATTCGGCATATTTAAAATAGATGGTGATGATCATTCTTCCAGAAGATATGTTGTAGTAGAAAAGGAGACAATGTAGGTAAACTGAAGACTACATACTTTGTGGGGAGTCCATCACTAGGAATGCTTTAAAGAGAGTTGTATAAAGTACTGTATCTCTGACTGCTTTGCTAATTTATAACAACTTATCAACATTTCTCTTAAAGGGCCAATATATCTATAAGGTTAATAGTGACAAGTGCTTGTGGTTGTTTCTGAACTTTTTGATTGATTTGTCTGAAGATGTATTATCAAAATGAAATGTTGGACTGTTTAGCTTGACCTCTGCAGAGAATCGTGCCTGCCCCTGAAATGGCGACATTAACTGTTACTGACAGCTGGGTATTATTAATAGTTTGTAAATAAACTAAGAGTTAATACACTATCACAACATTTACCTTAACTCTCAGTGAGTTAGGACTACAAGGCAATACCTTAGAAATATTTTACTTTACATTTTCCAGTATTATTGAAAAGACATTTTTGGTGTGTTGATTTGTGTTACAAGGGAGTTAACAACTATATAATAAGCAAAATGTAGTAGCAGACACTGTTACTTCCCATCATTTCAGAACCCTAAAACTAATACCTGCTTCTTATTGATAAAAATTATTGCTTTCTATTAATATGCTACTAGCCCAGTGGTTCTCAACCTTTTTTTGTCAATGGCACACCTTGGAACACATTACAAAAAAGCGGCACACCTGGCTAAATATATATGAAAAATATTTGAATTTTGCAAAATCAAAACATGGTAAGTCATACGGAATACAACCGTAGACAGAGACTATTCATAGACACATAGAATAACTCAAACTAAATAAAGAAGAACACAGCTATCAGTAGACACCAGTGAATACTTATTTGGGATCTCGTGGTTTTTCACATTTTCTTAGTGTGCCGTTGAAAATTTTGCGGCCCTTAGGAAGATCTCGCGGCACACCTGTGCGCAATAGCACACTGGTTGAATATCGCTGCACTAGTGTACTGACCAAGTCCTTTCGTAAGTGGGGGTCACGGTGGCTAAGTGGGTAACATGCTGGCTCGCTAGCCTGGCGGTCGGGTGTTTGATCCTTGCATTGGCCGAGAAAATTCATCCAGAGTTTCTGGCGGCGTGGTTCCCCTTGTCAGTGATGCAGGACAGAGGGCCTGACAAGGATAGTTGTCTTGTCATTCGAATGAGACAGAAAATCGAGGTCCCATGTATACATTGGCATGCACGTAAATGATCCCTTGACAGTTGGAATTCAATATAAGAGTAGGCAGTAGTGCCGCTGTCCGGGCAAAATTTCACGCATAGCACACTGTATGACATATGCCCGTCTTCATTAGCCCAGTTCTGAGCAAAACAGTAGGACGTTAAATACCATTTCATTTCATTTCCTTTCATAAGTACCTGACCACTGCCTTTTCTAAAATGATCCTTTTATGTGGAAACTATTTCTTTCATGTGTCAAAGATGTCAAAACAAAGCTAGCTTATATTTGTTGAATAGTTTATTTGATGGGATTTTTGAAAAGTGCATTACTAAAGGTGTTTCAGTAACTTTTTTTTTCTTGATGTTTTAATTTAATGATGTCATTCGACAGCAATCATCTGTCGAATTACATCATTAAATTAAAACCGGTTGCACTATGAATATTGCTATTGGTTTGTGTTCTGGTTTTTTTTTTTTAAAAAAAAGGACTTAAGGTATGCCCTAACATTATATTTTATTCATTCATATACTTTTCAAATGCTTATAATATAGCTTGAACCCTATCAAGTCACGGTAGCTCAGTAAGTAAGATGCTGATTCGCTAGCCAAGGGTTCTTGGGATCGCTCCCATGTGTTTGCCAAGAAAATTCATCAGGGTTTTCTTAAATGGTCTTAGGTCTCCCCTTGTCAGTGAATCAAGGTCCTTTGTACACATTGGCGTGCACTTAAAGATACTTTCCCAGAAAAGTATTTATCATTGTCAAAAGTTGCACGCGCAGGACGAAGATTGTCTGATCTCCCAGCATTAGTGAGCGCTTGATGTATATGTTGATAAACTTGATGAAGAGCTTAAACGTACAACAGTTTCTAAGATAAAAACCATGAAAAAAAAAACATTGGCAGTGAATTTAATTAGGCTTCGATATTTGTGATAAATGGACATTGATTAAAGACAACATCATCTTGTAGGCCTATATGCAGTGAATTCTCCTTTGGCTTCACACCCGTAGCTAGGTAGCATGTCAGCCAAATCACGTGACACAAACATGACTTCTTTTAATAGACTTTTTATAGCAGCGATATTCCCTCGCAAAAACAATTTTTTGAGAAGGATATGAAGCAAAATTTTGATAAATTAGTTTCAATATGTTTTTAGTCCAAATATATCATCAAATCACCCAGTTTGTACGCGGGATGAAATCTTTGAAAGAACCATTGACATTTGGAATTCGATATAAGTGTAGCCCATAGCGCTGCTGTCCGGGCAAAATTTCCCTCATAGCACACAATATGGAGTCTTCATTAACCCAGTGGGTGCATAAAAATACATAGGATGTTAAACCCCATTTCATTATATTTCATAATCTAAAGTCCTTGATTCTTTGCCTTATTTCTGTTAACAGGATAGTAATAAACAGTCGATCATGGTTTACACAGTATAGTCAATCATACAATGTTTGGGAAATATTCCCTCTTTTCATGGATTGCCATACTTGTCTACATTTTGCATGAAGTCTGTATCTCTGTAGACTACAGCGCAATAGCGCTAGCTGTTTGTTTAAGTGTGATATGTATCCTTGCTGCACTTAATATAATACTGCCTACAGTAACACCTAGTCATTAACACAGAATGAAAACAATATGATGTAATTATATACCTATAGGCTCAAAACTGTTGGCTACAACACAATGATAATAGCAGTCTGTTTATGATGTGGCTTTCCTACAGATAGCCTCTAACACCTTGTCATTACCAAAAGGGATAATACTGTGAAAATCAACTGTTAGATGCAGTGAAATGAAATGAAATGGGGTTTAACGTCCTACTGTTCTGCACCGATTGGGTAATGAAGACGGGCATACGCCATATAGTGTGCTAATCCTATGATGGAAATTCTGCCAGAACACTGGTATTAAGGCCTACTCTTATATCAAATTCCAACTGTCAAGGGATCTTTTATGTGCAAGCCAATGTATTTTTGTCCCATCTGAAAGATTTTACATTGTGCCGTGCTGTGCCCTCCGTCCTGCTCCACTGGCAATGGAAAAGTGGAAAATCCTGATGAACGTTCTTGGTCAACACAGGGATCAAACACAGGACCTCCAATTTAGTGAGTCATCATCAAGCCTGGAAATAAGGCAACCGTCACTGACAATGTCAGGCATAGATTCAGGCTTTGTCAGCCACTAAACCTCTGGTGCCTGTCATTTTGTCCGGCACTGACTTGTCTATTTTTTTTATATTATTAATACATGTCCAGCACTAAGTTGGAAATGTCAGGTACTATTTCGTTATATTATAGTGCCTGACATTTTGTCAGGTACATGTAAAACTGTTATTTCATCTTACTCAACGAGCCATGGTGGCTCACCTGTTAGATGCAATCAAATGTAAGACATTTTTTCTTATTTGTGCTTACTTTAAGTTTGTCTGATCGAGGTAAGCCCATTTAAATATCAGATTTCAGGAAAAATTTCAAAGACTCTCAACTTGATTTCCAAGCAGGAGGAGTTGTCAAATAGTGACATGCATGAATAAGGAAAACAAAGTTGCCATGTATAAGATTTTAAAAAAAAACACATTTAAAGGAATATAGGACTTAAAGGAGCTAAATCGCTAACATTTGGGACCTAGAAATTGACACAAGTGGGTCGCAACTCATATAATACTGTAATATGAATGTATATAAACTGATATACATTCAATGGTTTCCGTTTTTACTCTAATTTCAAATCAGTTATGTTCAGCGAAATAAGCCCGCAGTCTCAATCGAATGCAAATTTCTAGCGCCTCGTTATTCCAGTCTACATACGCCGTTTGGTTTGGTGCAATATGTCTAGCCTCGTTCCTCGAGTCTCTTGCTAGAACTGGGGCTGAAACGCATTATGGTACACGATTCGTGTACCAATGGCAAATTGTTTATTTTGTCTTAAATATTGGATATCAGAAGCCCAACTTTTTCCGGTAAGATCACAGCATCAATGTTGATTTAAATTGACAAATAATTTGTGTTTTCAATGTTGAAGATTTTGGATGATATTGAGTTAAGAGACTTAGCTACTTTAATGCAAGTGCAAGTAGAAGTAGTCTATGAGTATGACACTTCTGTCAAATCAGAATGGAAAATGCCATTAAAACATCATATAAACTACACAGTTGGAAGCCTACAGACATTCCAATGCAAGGGTAATGGATAATTAATTACAGGATAATATTACTGTGACTGGTAAATTTGGTTATTGTGATAATAATATATAATAGGCTAGCGAGCCTTATGCACGGGAACTGGTAGAGGCACGTTACTAAAATTGAAATAGAACCGATTTGGTTCTGCTATTAGTATTACTGTATTACTATATGAAAGCGGTTATTATTTATTGGATAACGGGCTTATCCTATTATAGTTGACATAATAATTGAATAACGATGTGACACTAACCTTAACAAGTAGTTACATGAAGTGGGGACTGTTGCTTTCTATATCTAGCTGTATGATAATCTGAAAACCACAATAATCTGTCAAACCCCAGATAATAACAACATTATTATCATTATGCATCGATTTGGAGAAAGCGCGACCGTGCAAAACGGTATTACCTCCCTTTGTTGCATGAGTTACGCCCCTTCGTCAATAATTTGTAATTGCTGTACTAATAATAATAATCACAAGGCTAGAATAAAACTGAAAATCTGTTGAATAATGGCATAATGCTTTAACTACGTTTTAACATAGAAATCTATTTATATGGTTTTATTGACAATTAAAATATCAAAATTTGTACATTAAAAAAAAAACAACAACAGCTCTTTCATACAGAGATAGAAATGGTATATATGACGTCATTGGTTTTGCCATGCACATTGAAATATAAATACTTCTATGTTGCCATCATAGATCGTATGTTGCCATGTCTCTCGGTTTTGCATGTTTGAACCTTCGCGAAAAGGACGTGTTCCCATAGATATCTGTGGTATGTCCTAACTCATTTCTAGGTTAAAAAAATTTAAATATGAAGAAGTAGCATGGCTACTTGTGAGACTATAGGCTACTTGTATCACTAGAAAACTCAAGTTCCAATACAGTTCTATGGCAGCCTGTTCAATTTTGTGAAATGGTGAAAGGGGGGTAACTCTTTTTGAAAATATGTTTGTCTCCCTTTCACCATTAGGAAAATTCGCAGATTGCATGATCTCCAAGATCCGAAAACAAGCATAGTACCATAACTTTGGACGAGATTCAGAAAACAAATGAAAGGTAACATAAATAAACAAATGAATAACATAAAATAAATTAAGCCATAAGAAATTTATATTTACGACAAAAAAAAAAAAAATCATTAAGAAAATGAAAAGCAATCAAAAAAAATGCCATCCAAGGGTGATGCAAGATAAATATCTCTCTCATATTAATTGTATGAATGGAATTCTAAACTTTCCTTCCACGTGGATTTTACCCCTCTCCAAATTTCATCAGGTTTTAGGTAAGGAAATCAAAGAATTACTTCTAAAGGCGTTCAACAAAACACTCGCGTCGTTCAACAGAACACGTAAAATTGGTTTCATCGAACAAAGAGTGTGTAACACCCACTCGACCCAAACCAGGTCAATTCGGGACTAACATATGACTCTGGGCTAGACAGAGCCGGCGAACTTTACTGTGAAATTTAGTACTTCTCACTGATTTGGTTTCATAAAATTCGTATTATTTCTGTTTCACATGCAACTTTATAAATTAAACTGTAAACTATGAGCTTTCCAACTGATAATGTTTAGTCTTGTTGTGCTTCAACAAATCTGTTAAGACATTGAAATAAGACTATTTTTTGGCCAAACATTTAAATTAAAAAAGAACCCCGCTGCCTGTCAGTAAATCAAAACTCACAAAATAAAGATAAGTAAAACAGTTTAAATTTAAAAGTTGGCATGTGGTTCAACAATTTGATGAGTTTTCACGAATACCACAGAAAACATGAAAACGATTTGTTTCCTGGTATTGCACTCATTTAATCCCAAAGCCAATTATAATCTTTTGACGATTTAAGCACTAAAGTAAAACAAAGATTGCTATTATAATACGAGCTAAATCTGCCTATTGTAAGGTCTTTATTTTGGTTTCAAAAGTTATATAAACTATTATTTAGACATTTAATCATATGCCTAGCCAATAATCAACTCTCTAGACTATCGGATGGCGGAGATTTAAATGGGTTAAAATACAATCGCCATTCAATGATTAAATTTTAAAAATGGCGAAGCGAGGCTAAGTCTCCAATAGTGCCGTTGTTACGATGATAAATCTTGTCAAAACTTCAAATGATAATAACTTCGCTCAGAAAAAAATAATTTTAATAAAATTTTTAATACATTCATCTTGCATTATCTATTTTTGAACTATTATAGCAAGAAAATTATAAATGTAAAATTCCTAAATAAGTGGCGTAGCTGTTCTAGAGAGTGTAAGATCGTGCACGACTCTCGTCACAATACACGCAGTCCTACTAATAAGCCGGAAAAGTTATTCAATTTTGGGTCTCCGAAAGACCTCTTCCCTGTCGGCATAATGCAGCCGTGTTGTCATTATTATACAAAACATCCATCTTCATTAACCCAGTCGGAGCAGAACAGCAGGACGTTAGACCCCGTTTCATTTATCTATACAAGACATTACCAAAATCTGACTTTCTTTGATATAAGGTCATAAAGCTGAGATTCATGTAAACAACAGTGGGCGAAATGGAATCAGATATATAAGATTCCAGTGATTATTAATCTTGAGCGGATCCATGCATAGGGTGGCGGGTGAGGGGGCACTGGCCTGGGGATCGTGATCGTGCTCACTTGCGCAGCAGCAACCCGGTTCCAGACGCAACAAGAACTGCAGGTTTAAATCGAAGCTGTCATTGTATATAACGATCTTTGACTCATACTTAATTGAGTCGGCGCATCGGTTCGCGCCCCCCCCCTCCCCCCCCCCCCCCGCATTAGATCCGCCTTGTTAATATCAGTTTCGGTCCCGGTGTTGACCTAGATGGTTCTTGGATTTTCACGTTTGACACCCCCTTTCAGCAGTGTAGGGCGAAATGGGGACGTGTAGCTTATGCTGGCAAGGCAAGGAAAAGCGGCCTATCGTTGGGATGGAACAAAAAAATAACCAAAAAACAATTGATCGAAATATTCGTCGCTGGTATTCCAGCTGGACTGGTGTTTTTTGTGTGTTAACTATTTTTATGATCCCCAGGGTGAATGATATACCCGACCATCATTATAATGTCTGATGGCAAAAAGGAAAAGTGGAAACCATGGAATGGGGTTTAACGTCTCGATAACACCATGCTTCGGTCATTTTGAGACATAATGTAGTAATATCAGGAATGGCTTGATGAGGGGTTCTTTATAGAGTTTAGGTCGTTTTTGATGAATTGGTCAGATTGCCACACGCAAAATTTGTGCAAGAGCTAGAAACACCAGGATATGCTCTAGAAAACATCGTTTACAGTCAGTTGTTCAAACAAATTTCTCGAGCCAAATGGGGAAAAAAATAAGAGTGGGTGCCCCTTACTGTGTCAGACTCAGGGGCCTCTGGAAATATTTATTTATGGTTAAGCGTGCAATTACTAGATAGGAGAATTATGCCTATAGTAGCGGCGTTCATACCTACTTCTGTTCGAATTCAAACGTGCCAGCGTTATTTTACGCGTACAAGAGTCGATCTCGGGTTTTTTTTCGCTCCAGGCGCATAATTAAAGGACAAACAACAACACAAATTAGAAATTCGCGATAGACGTGCAGGATAAAATTCATTTAAAGAACTATTTTTTAAAAAAAACTATAAGACGTATACAGTCTTTATGTATAACTATAGGTAGACCCGTTCGTACACTCCTCACATGACAAATTCAACAGATATCCTTTTGAATGCTGTTTAATTCAAGAGAGCTCAAATGGGTGGAAACGGGCAGACGCCGGGGGGAAAAGGTTACGCAAGAACAAAAGATTGGGAGGGAGATAGAGATGTGAGTCTTTATTTGGATGAACGCATGCTTATTTGAATGACGATCTATATATATTTGTGTATATCAGATGTGCATAGATCCCGGCCTTTGATGAAATGTACTGAGATATATAGGTGAGGGTTAAAGGTTAAAACCTCTTGTCAAAGCCTGAGACGAGTAAACAAACACGTGACTATTAACTGCGTAACATCTGTATTTGCTTTACTACTACTTCAATTCATCTGTATCTATATATTTACAACACGCACGTGGTCTTGCCCTGAGTTGTTCTTTCTTTCTCTTCTACCGTTTTCATTGTATAGAATGATAATACATCCCCCCAAAAAAGGGATTACATGTAGGATAACTGCAACTTAAAGTGGTCACATTCTCTTTGACTTAGAAATGACCTTATTTATTATTGTCAGTTTGAGACTAACATGTAGTACGCGTATGTCTGTGGTTCAGTGGGTAACCAGGCGGTCCGGGGTTTGAGTGGGACTTTCTAGCATGGCTTCCTCTTGTCAATTCGAAGAAACATCGTCTAGTCGTTCGGATGCCCCGTGTACACCCTGCCGTGTTAGTAAAAAAAACCCTTGAAGTCGGAACTCGGTGATGGAACTCAATGGCTGTCCGGGCAAATTCCCCCTTAACACACTGCATGGCGTATGCCCATCTTCATTATCCCGGTTGAAGCAGAAAAGTAGGACGTTAAACCCCATTTCATTGATTTCTTTCGCCTGCATTAGCCTGGTTAACTTCCATTTGATTTCATTTCCTTTTCATTATGGGTCTGGGGCCCGTTTCACCAAATTTTAACTAAGATTAAATTCAAATTTTAGTAATTTGATAGGATAATATTAGATTGATTTTAGTGCTTAGCCAATCAAAATTGAAGTATCTACTAAAATTTGGATTTTATCTTCAGTTAAAATTTCGTGAAACATGCCCGTTTTACTTTGCTGTTACCATGTTCTATAACCGATACCCTGATTCACCCTTTACAAACAGTTGATAATATTTGATTTTGTTTCTTTTCTTCCAGATCACCAAGTGGGCTTAAGCAGATTGTATATTTTATTGAAAGGTTTGAGACATTTGTTGATATTATTTTAGTACGAATCACGTGTTTGCATTCCTATTATTTATATATTAAGACCAACTGCAGATTTCGTCAAGGTCGCGAGATGTAATGTGAATAGAGTTAAGCAACGTGATTGTTAGCGAGATTGTGGGTTAGGTCTAGGGTTAGAGTTAGCGCTTGCCTGTTTACATCTGTGACCTTTGACCAAATCTGCAGTTACCAAACCATTACTTATCAGTATGCCGCCTCTACCCAACATCACAGAAATGTTTCCTGATCAAGATAAATTTTACTGTTTTTGAAGTAAACACGATATACAAAGCAATTCAGTATAATTATTGTTCAAAACCCAGTCAAAAATGTTCTGGTGAATTTGTAAAGAATATTTTGGAACATGTTAGGAACCAAATTTCCATGACGAATATAACGGCATTAATGAAATGAAATGGAGTTTAACGTCCTATACTTTGCTGCAGCTGTCGGGCTATATGGGAAATCTTGTCCTGGCAGCGGCGCTATGTCATTCTCTTATTTTGACTTCCAAATGCCAGGGGGTCTTTAACGTTATGCCAGTGGTATACCCGGGACCTCGTCTCATCCGAATTTCTTAGAGGCTTTTTCTGGCGAGCCCCCCCCCCCCACTGCACCACTGACCAATCCCTGGAATAATTTTCGTAAGTTTCCCAAACGGAAAATAACAGAGATTTACCTTTCCGGCCCTTCCTTGCTATCATCCATTGCAATAGCCACCAAAACGGCTAGGGAAATCCAATAGGATTATACGTCCTACTTTTCTGCACCGACTAAGCTAATGAAGGCGGGCATAAGTCATATTATACAGTGTGCTAATGGGGCTTCTCTTATATCAAATTGTACATGGGACTTCGGTTTTTCGTCTCATCCAAACAACTATACGTTGTCCCTTGCCAAGCCCTCTGTACTACACCACTGGCAAGGGGGAGCTACGATTGAAAGTCCCGATGAACTTTCTCAGCCAACACCATGTTAGCGAGTCGGCGAGTACCATTATATATAACAAGTTGTGATATTTTTGTTTTAAAAAAAAACATGAATCTTATTAAACATCACCAGGTTTTCTAACAGATGACAATAATATTAAAATCATGACTGGAAAGCATGTAGTATGGTAACAAACATCTATTTTATATTCTTTCTTTATATTTATAGTGTGGTATTTTTAAGGACCCATCCCATAAAATATGACAATGGTAAGACTATTAATGTTTAAAGTGCTGGCTTATCAAAACCACATTGTCAGATAAAGTAACTATTATACAGAATGCATCGTGCATATCAAATTGATAAAACGTACTTCTCGCCGTCTAAAATAAAAAATATGGATTTTTTTTTATTTATACCTGTTAGATTATTATCACCAAATTATCTCGTTATCATGTTTAAGAAAAAAATTCGAAATGATTTAAATGTCATGTCCACAAAGTTGTCTTGTAACGTCAAAGCCGCTTTATCCCGAAATAGGAAACAAATTGAAAATGAAATGAAATTTGGTTTAACGTCCTACTGTTCTGCGCTGAACTGGGTTTGTGAAGACGGGCATATGCAATACAGTGTGTTATGGGGAAGATTTTGCCGGGACAGCGGCACTGCACCTACTCTTATATGGAATTCCAACTGTCAAGGGATCTTTTACGTTCACGCCAATCTGATTCATTATAAGATTTGTAATCAGATTGATTAGTCTAATGCATTATTCCCTTGAATACCTTATTTCACAACTATAGCTAACTAAAACATGTTTTGTATTCTAAATTTCCCTTTTGTTTTTATCCGATAAAGAGTTTAACGTCCTACTGTTCTGTACCAACCGGGATAATGCAGACGGGTAGGCCTATAATATATGTCATACCGTGTGCTATAAGGAGTCTACATTTTGCCGGGACAGCGGGACTACCGCCTACTCTTATTTCGAATTCTGTCCAACCTCGTGAGGGTTTTCCGGGTCCTCCGGTTTCCTCCCACTGCTAAAGACCCCTACGCGCAAGCGAATTATTGAAATAAAATTGAACCATGTGTGGGTATAAAATAACCGCTGACAAATCCCTAGCTTTGCGAACGCTCCATGTACTAGAAACAATTTCTTGGTGCCAATAAAAACTGAAGTAATACAGTAATCTCAATTATTTATCGAACATCTGATTCCCATTATTATGTCATTGCCAAATATCACTCCCTATTTATGACGTCATCTCTTAGCAAATATCTTAACCACATAATCAACATCAAGGAACCTTACCAATCGATAACATTCTTTGGGGATGCGGCGGGGAGGAAGGGGTGGGGGCTTATTGTGGATACACTGAACTGTTGACGATCTTGTTTCCAATATGAGAAAAGGAGCTTTCACTAAGGAATTCAACCTCACCCATTAAAAAAGAAATCGACGCTTGTCCCTTCACTGATCACTAATCGATATAATATGCCGGATCAAACCAATTCTATTCAAAAGTAAAATAGATAATTGTCTGTCACGTGAAACTTGCTGCCCGTGTAATACTATATGACCTTTTAATATGAAATAAGCTAGAGAAGTATATACAATAAATTTGCTCTAACTGATAATAATTCAAATATTAATGGTGGTTGCTGTTAAGAAAAGTATAAATAGGAATACAACAAATTTAATCCATTTTGTAACGAAGAGGGTATTGGTAACCACAGTATTTAGGGTTAGAGTTAAAGTTCTGACAACTTTTCTTTGGGACAATGTCTATAATAAACAACCACAAGGAGTGCTTAGTAGGTTCAATGAGCTAGGGTTAGGGTTAGGTCATCTGTGCTTCAAAAGTATTTAATATGTTAACGTATTTCATAAACACAGTATTTACGAGGTAATTTTTATTTGTAAAGACTGTAATTAAAAACTAATAATCTCTCCCTTTTTATATATTTACTGATTGGGTTTATTTGTGATGGCTTTTCTATGTGCGTCTGCATTGCATCCTAGATCATGGAAACTGATTGAGGTATAATATTGGAAAATTGCCCCCTTTATTTATTTTTAGATTTTAACGATTCGCTACAGTTCCTGTAATCAGAAGTGATTTAACGAACCGCAGACATTGGTTCCACATCTGATCAAAGTCAATGATATGTAATGTTCAAATATTTGGGCAAGCTGACTCCTCGTTATTTCCACGGAATCTATACTCTGTTTTTCCATTTTTAGCCTTCTTGATTAATTCCTGAGGTTTGCACCGAGTCACGAAAAATTCCCATTTACAGGAAAAAACGTTCTGGCTAACTAAGAGATTTTTTTTTCTGTATAAGGTCGTTTTTCGATACAGAACATGGCATTGTATTAGAAAATTGAAAAGTTTAGCCAGGGATATTCCGTTTTTTTGGAGGAGTTAGAAATGGAATGAAAAGAAATCAATCTGAAACGATTTTATTTCTTTAAAACTGAATTCGCCCCACTTAGAACTGTAACCCAGTCGAGAATTAAAAGATAGTGTACAAGCGTTTTCACTTCTCCCAATACTTGCAAATTCAATTAGCAATGTTGTACATCTGACGAGTATTAGAGAAATAAGTTGTTTCATTCAGATGGTGTAATAAGTATTATATAACCACATAGTTGTTTACATTCTTATCAATGAAATGGACTTTAACGTTTTACTTTTCAGCACCAACCGGGTGTAGCACCATGCTGTGCTATGCGTCGCTGGTCAGATGTGGAAAGCACAGATGCCAAAAACTCCCCACATCCAACGTGTAGCACATACTCTTTCCTCTGCTACGTATTTTATTAACCTTGTGATCGTCTAGTATTTTCTCTGGTTATATTTGTAATTCTCTTCTTCTTTACAGCTTACTATCTCAGTAGTTAAGACGTTTATCTACCAGGAATAACATTTTTTATCAAGCACTGGATACATAGGTTACAAGCTTAGGTTACATTAAAGCCCTTAAAATTAACATGTCTTTCTCTCCACCCTTAACTCACAAATCGAGTTTACTGACGGAACACACTGCATCATATGACTCTCCTATAAATCAATGGGGTCTACTCAATCCATATGGCGTCTCTTCAACCTCAGCGGTCTCTCCTGCTCCCTAAGAATCTAGCGGCTGTCTAAAGTCTATAGGACCTAAACCAGTCTTAGGACATTGACAAACATTACATAATTAATTATGATCATTGGTTACTAAGCCTAATGACGTCAAGAACCACCCTTATATTATGGACAGTAGAAACTTTCCACCAGAAGTGTCAGACGTGTTATTTTGTTATTAGGCCAGAATTAAATGTTTACCAAATCTAAGCTGTTTTTATATATTTTCCCATCACTGATTCAATCTGAGTGCGTGAGAGACATGACTTCTCTATAATATGAAACCAATAATTAGTCAAAGCTATAGTTAATATAATGCTATTATTAATTTAAAGAGCAAAAATTCTACCAATCTAACTACACACGGGCTAGTGAAGATTGATATACGCCATGCAGTGTTTGTTCTGTGAAGGATTACTCCCGGAACGACCTAGTTTGTGTCGAGTGGACGCTCTCTCTCTCTCTCTCTCTCTCTCTGGTTTTACATATTGTCCTTTTTTAAAATATTATATTTTCTGTGTAAATGAAAGCAAAATTTATGTAACAATTCAATGAGGTTTCTTATAGCTGTCGACGATATCAATGTATATGTGACAGTCAATGTCTACAATCAGGCAATGTGTACAATGCCTGAAATATACCAGTCAATGTGTACATTGCCGGGTTAGGGTTAGGGTTAGGGTTGGGGTGGGGGCTAGGGTTAGGGTTACAAAGGCATTGTACACATTGCCTGATTGTAGACATTGACTGTAACATATATATAACGATCGCCCCTTTTACCGGGCGTAAGAATTCGGCCATTAATGTAGGTTTCACGGTACAATTGTGTTAATATAACAGTGGTCGTTTTAACTGTGGAAGCTATATATTTGTTGAATCGTCCAGTAATAACGAAGTAATATAAAAAAAAAAGATGGGTTTCGCTTTAAGTAGATTTTTTTGCATTAACCTTGATTATTAAAGTCAGTAATCTATTTGACCATTCCACTGGTTCAGCGGTGATTTATATCCAACGAATCTTGGTTTAATAGCTATTGGTAATGATGTTATTTTTACATTAGTGTCTTTTGTATTTCGTTTTAAACAACTTACGTATCGCTGATCATAACATATTTCATAATTATAACGAAGCGGCGGTTTATCTGGTCATATTAACCGAATTTTACCTTATTTCCTGCCCACGGTTGTTTCCAGCAGTGACCCAGTTGGTGAAGGATTAACCTTAAATACAAGATAACTGGCAAGGATTATGTCTCAGATTTTAGTAATATTTCCATCGGGGTAGAAATTATAAATGGATGAAATATTATAACCTATTAACTAGAGAAGAAAATGTAAGGCAAAGACCTTCTGAAATGAAACATACACTGGTGGCGTGTTGACTTGGTACTCAGGTTAGAGGAAACTGCGGTGGCTCAGTGAGTAAGACGTTGGCTCACTACCCGTGTTGGCCGGTAATTTTTCCGGCGTGGTTCGAACCAGGCCAGGGACAACATTCGGATGGGACGAAGAACCGAGCTCCCGTGTATACATTGGAGTGTACGTAAAATAACCCTTGACAGTTGGAATTCGAAAATTTGCCCTTTTAGCACACTGTATGCCCGTTTTCATTAGCCCAGTTGGTGCAAAACAGTGAGACGTTAAACCCCATTTTATTACATTTCCTTTCCGGTACCCGGTTAAACTCGGTTTCTTGTGCACAACACTAGAGTTAAGCCGCATCAATTACATACACACCAATGTTCATTCTCAATTTTTACATGGAACCTATTTTATAACATTGCAGACCATTTTTAGTGAAGCTAACATCTTCAAAGTGCGGGTTAATGATTGGTCATTTAGAGGGTCAATATTTCAAAATTTTCGCGGGGGAGGACCACCGGACCCACCGCAAGTCCGGGGGAATGAACCCCCACCGGACCCGCCTATTTTGGTCCAGCAGTTGCAAAACCTTAAAAAAATGGCCTGTAACATTGTCAAGATTAATCATGTTGCTTGACAAACATCGAGAACTTTTAAAGAACCTATTAATAAATTATTAATATAAATCTTTGAATTGGCGTTAAATTTCTATTTATAATAATATAAGGACCGGTCTAAAGCGTGTACCGTCAACAGTTTGCTGGAAGCAAAGATCTTATAATAAAATACATAATCTTTAAACTCTTTAATTTTGGAATTCTTTCGAATAGTTTACTTTCGATTTAAGACAAGACTGGTCAAAGTTCAGACATGTATACCAATCTTCTCTCAGACTGAACAAGGTGTGTATGTCTTTAAATACCTGATGATATTGTTTTGCACGTGTATAGTCTAAAAGTCGATGATTTCTTTGTATTCGTTTTCAGGTGCCGATCCTCCAAAACAACAATCCAAGTTTTTCTTCTCCTGGTAAAACTATCTTAAAGGTCGAATGGTACTAACGTGTGATATGTTTCAGTAGTTTACGACTACGTGCCGGTAGCATTGACAGATATACGCTCGTGTTTTGAAGATAGCTGTTGGGATAAAGTACTCATACGCCTGCTTAAATAATAACCAATAGTAGTTATAGTCTGATTGTTTTCTCATATTTTGACAAATCTAATGGCGCGAATGAATATAGTCCATGCAGATGTATATTAAAGTCTCTAGGATCGCTTTGTATCTTGGGTAACGGTATGTTATAAATAAACAAAACATATGGATATATACGTATAATGAAGGTGGGTATATCCGTACCTGACCTCAACAAAATAATGGCATCTTGCGGTAGCCATGTGGCCGACAGGTTAACTTAACCATTTGTTTTACTTGTGTTTCGTCATCTTCGACAAGCAAGAATAAAATGGTCATAATTGGGTAGGCTCCACGTCTCAAGAAAATGACGCTATCTAATTTGATACCAGTCTTGGAGTGGTTCGAAGAATCCGTTGTTAATTCGTTACGAATTATGATTATATAATTGGACTATATATAGATTAAGTATCGTGGTGGATAACATTATTTGTTTTGTGGGGTTTTTTTTAATTTCGCTCACATAAGCCGTTTGTTAATCTCAGATTTAGTAATTTGCAGTTCGCCCATATGATTCGGTATCATGTTTTCCGGTTAGGACAGATTGAACGTTTTCGTGTAGGCCATCAATAAAGTGAAATGAGGCTTAACGTCCCACTGTTCTTCACCGACTGGGCTAATGAAGACGAGCATACGCCATACAGTGTGCTATGGGGGGAAACTTCTAATTCCAACTGTCAAGGGTTCTTTTACATACTCGCTAATATGTACACGGGACCTCGGTTTTTTCCGTCCAATCCAAACGACTATACGTTGTCCCTTGCCAGGCCCTCCGTCCTGCACCACTGGCAAGGGGGGGGGGGGCACGCCGGAAAATCCCGATGAACTTTCTTGGTCAACACAGGGATCGAACAGATGAGCTAGCAAACGCCTTGCTCACTGGGCCACCATGGCTCCAGGCTATCAGTGACCCATGTAGTGTGTTAAGACGGCGTCAGTGGTACTTAGTTTGTATTATACATGTACAGGAATATAGTACTTTACGCACTACCTGAAAACACATTGCTTTAGCTAGCAACAGTATAGAATAGAGCCTGGGGGTGATTTGGCTTGTTGCCTACCTTTATTACTAGTCAATAGTCATTATGGTGGGAATCTATCTTTACACTACCAATTCCAACATCTCACGTTTCTTCCCTACACACCTTCAACGTTCTGCAGCTACTTATGTGCTTTATGGTATTTTGATTTGCAACAATTTGCCAAATACATGTATATCAGGAGAAAAAAAAACCGAGCTAGGTTGTTTGGTGCATTTTCATCTTTGTGTCAGTGCTATCTTTAGTATTGTGTTTCAGAATTGATTTTATTTATCTATTGGGAACTATTTCTATTACTGTCTTGAACCAGTTCCAAAAACTAAAACCAGCTATGAAAAACTCATCATTTGTTGGAGTAGTAATGGGTGGTTATATAAGAATACAAGGGGAGGCTGTTCTATAAAACAATAAATAATTCATGGAAATCTGTATTAGAAATGCTAGGGCTAGACAAAAGATGACACTTTAAATTTATTACTCACAGCGGAAACATTTTTGATTGTATTTTTTTGTTCCCTTCCCTTATTGATCTGTCAAAATGTAATGGAACCGTTATTTTCAAAACAAGACCTGACACAGTTTCAAAAGCTAATTTTCAGCAAATGCCATAAAGTTAAGGAGATTTTATTTACGGATATTATGATGTTTCCATTTTGAATAACCCGGGGGAAGAGGGAAGGGGGGGGGGCTGTGGGCGAGGCGAGGTAGGCGGACAGGGCGGCGCAGTTCAACGGCCTCACGAAATGTCCTAAATATTCGGGTAATTTGAAGCCCGGTTCTCAACATGTCAATAATGCCAGGGGTAACGCATGCATATTGGGGTGTCAGTAAAAGGTAAAGGAACCCTTGGCAGCTCGAATTCGAAACGCCGCTGTGCCCTTCGCTTTGCATTACATACATAACCGAAATATTGTTTGTGCAAGTCTTTAAACCCCATTCCATTCCGAAGTATAAGATCATTTTCCTTAACTGTCCCACTGGCATTACGAGTAGAAAGAGACCCGTAGAACCTAGACCCTATTAAATGTGCGTATTATCAATACTGTAAACCTTGTAAATATTTGTTATGGCTGCTCTGCAAAGTTTTTTCTTTCCATTTGGAATTCTCAGCAGCCCAACTTGTCTGTCAATGATTAACATGATCAATTTAATCAAGTAGTACCATCAATCTAAATGACAAACCAGCCAATTAGTAACAGTGATTGCTATAGAAAATGGGGAAACCGTTTACGTGCGTATATTATAGTTATTTATGGCTAGAGTAGAAACTCTACAAGAAGAGCAACACTTGATGATATGTATGTTGTTATTTGTGGGTAGGATATAGGCACCTGCTCAACGTTCTTCCAAATGTCGGGTTAGCAAAATCATCAATAAAATAATAACAAGCCTCTGGTGTTTATTTATATCCAGAGAAAGGTTGGCCGTGTTATGATTTTCAATTTTTATGACACCTAATCTCAAATAAACATCTTGAAAAATCAAACCGAGCAATAGAACAATATCTTTGAGATATGTGAACTTCCCTGGAGATTAGGAAATGGTATTAAGTGCATATGAATAGTCTGTGTTCAACTGAGATTTGACGCGTGTAGACTTTAACGAGGGAATATAACAACAGTAACCGGCTTTCCCATGCTAATATACGAGGCGTTTTTAATGTCTCGTACATGACGCCCGCCATTATTTAAATAAGGAGGAAGGGGGCAGGAGGACAGGGGCGGGCTACAAACGTAAACGTCAATGATGGTGAAATAGATACGCGATGACACAACTATTTTCAATAATTTTCTGATGATGACAACAGAATTTCTTAATGCAGTTTTTAGCAAATGTTACGTTGGTTCGGTAAACGCTAATAAATACTGTTGTAAAGGCCAATGAAATGTCTAAATTTGGATCTTCATTCAATCTGTAATTTTCAGAGAAAACGAACCGGGAATTCAATTAGAAGCCACATTGTGGCAATTTCAGGTACGAATATACAATTTTAGAATTGATAAATGTGGGAATTCCGAAAGGCCACATTGTCTGGAACAAGCCAAAAGTAGAACAAGCCAAAATTTAATTTTGACTTTGCTCCCCTAGACCACCCAAAATAAAACAGCATTTAAACCTTCTCGTTGACCGGTTTTAACACACATTGTGACATATTTTGTATTAGATTTTGAATTAGATGCGTTTAATTTTAACTTGGATTTTCTGAGGAAAATATTTCGTGACCGCATTCCAAAACTAATTCCAGTGGACAATGAGTTTGTTACTGTATTAAAAACTTGCTGTGTGAAAATCTGTCACGTTGTACAATAATTGTTTAGTTTTGTATGTAAAGGAACCAAAATGACAGTTATAGCCCCTTCAGACGCTTATTTTTAAACCAGTTCATAATCGCTGGGGTTTTTAAGACAGCATCGTGTTGCGTTCAAATTCTGACCTCTTCGGTCGGAGGTTAGAGTTAACTACGCATGGGTAGCTTCATATTCTTTATTCAGTTCTCGCACGCATTCGATAACATTGGCACTGTCTGACCCCGATATTTTCACAGGATTGTAACTTACTGCATACTGCGCATGCTCAAAGTAAGCTGGAGCCGGGGTTTTAAGCCAACCCGTTCAGACGGTTAAGATGAACCAGTTTAAAATAAAAAGCCTTCTCGAAGACAGGTCGCGAGTAGGATTTTTTAAACTGGTTTATTTGCCCCACATTTGCGTTCAGACGCTTAAGTTAAACTGGTTTAACGACCCCCGGGGTTTTTAAACCAGTTCAACTTAAGCGTCTGAACGGGATATAGACTTTTACTTAGATTTCCAACATTTAAATTTTACTGTGTAGAATTACTCTCCGAGTAGTACACTAGTGGACATAAACAACAGTTCAAGAACATTATTTGGAGACGTTAGCGATTGAAATGAAAAGATGTATTGTGAGTCACATTAGCCAAATAGATTACTGAATTTGCTGACCGGAGCTTTTGAATCAGTGGTAATTTGACAAGATGTAACTGGATAGAGTGAGACAGTAAACATTATTTTTTTTTTGCATGCATGGAGATACAGTCTGTATATAAAGGTCAAAATCAATTAATTAAGTTACTTATTATTACAGAGCGTCAACCACTGACCCTAATGTTGTTGTCTCATGTTATGCAGATATTTATTTAAGTCGTAATTTACTTGTTTTCAAACTGTGATTAAGATATGATGTTTTTCAGATGTATCTGTCAACAGGTTATGGTTCATACGCAGTTTACCATCTTATTTATGTAGATTCCATTCCAGGTTGTTATAGGGCTAAAGAATTCTGGACACAGCTGTCAAATATCGAAATATACATTGTTTATATAATTTTCGATTGGATAACTCTTTGCATTTAACTATAGCCAAATAATTAATAAATTGTTATCTTTGAGTATAAAAAGAACATAAAAAATGAAATATCTGTTGTGTCTTTCTTAATCAGATATATCTTAATTCATTCCAAATCATAGTTACCCCAATTTACACATTCGTATCTGGGTGAGGACGTGTAAATAGTTCTGAGAGGTAACCGTGCCTTGCTCTCTGGGCGACATAACTCAGTTATTGTCACACTGGAACTTCACACGATGCAGCTAGGCCTATATAGCTACAGTTTAGAAATTACCTTCGGGCAGTTCATATATCTGTTACGTAAACAAAAAAACCCACAAATATATTTTTTGTATAACTGTGTAATTCACTCCTGATAAAATTGTCTCGTATTTAACATATCCGATTTAACTTTGATGACGTGTCCATCAATCACGTGAAATCTACACCACTTCCTTCAAACATGCGTGTCAAAATACTAGTATCAAGGGTTTTCTAAAATGTGGTAGACGTGTGCATTTCTAGCACATGTCCCGGGGTCATTTTAAGACTAATAAAACAGCTCTGTTCATCGAAATTATAAGGATCTTTGTCGTGTGCTGCCTGAACATCGTACAACGAAACGAATGATTAACGTCTCGGG